TGGGGTTGGCTCTGCTGCACAAAAGAAGAGTTCTTGGCCATCTCTTCTCGCCCTCCATCTCGGTGCCAGGCAGCCATTAGCATGGCAAACCTACTTCCAGAAAGAAGATTTAGGTGAGAAGATTTCCTTTTGGGCTAGTTTTCAGGTAGATCGTCACAGCTGTGGTTTGTCTTGCTCCCAAGCGCTGCAGCCATACCTGGCTAGGGAAGGTGACTGTTGTTGACAGTGGGATTATCTCAAAGGTATTACAAAACTACAGGCTGGGAGGCATTGACTGCACTGGCTTTTTGGGGGCATCTTCTGCAGTTTTGCACCCTATCAGGTGTTCTGCACGTGGCCCAGACCTCGCTAGCCTGTCACAGTAGCCGTGTGTTGGTCTCATGTCTCAGTGCAGCTGGCAGTGCCCTTCCTGCGTGGGGACAGAATGGGGCAGGAGGGGGATCGAGGGGCTATCACCATAAATAAGGGGTTGGATGAAAACTGGTGGGTGGCCTGTGGTGGGAACAAGTGAGGGTGCAAGAGCTTGTCCTGTGCTGGAGCAGGGCAGCTGTCTTGATTTCAGAGTACACGCGAAGCGTGCTGCCTGCCTGGAAATCTGTAGCTGCAAATCCTGCTACCTTCTCACATGCCTTCAGCCACCTTCAAGGAGGCCTTTGGCTCCCCTTCCTTGCTTCTGCAGTGGAGAGGCTTCTTGTGGGCTGACGGGACAGGACCTGCAACCTCAGGTGATTCCTCCCTGCATGGGAAGATTGTACGCAAATCAGTGTTTCTGAAACCTCCAAAAGCCTCAGGGCGGTAGAGGCCAGTGGGGGGTGGGGGATGGGAGGGTGCGTGCTAACTGCCCTGGCCAAGCGGTGCTCAGAAGCTGTGCCTCTTAAATAAGTTTCAGTAACACTCAAGAAGTGTGTTTTGCAGTGTGGTAAATAAATCTCTAGCAAGTGGATGTGGCAATCGCGAACAAGGAGGAGGAACCGGCCCCTCACTTCAGCCAGAGCCATCGGCTGACAAACCAGCCTCTTCGGGCTGTGCTGCCTGTATTTCCTCCTTTGCCGCCTTGCCACACTCTTTGCGTAACTGCTGGGGAGCTGCCAGCACCTCGTGGCACTGCCTGGCCTTGCTGCACAGCGTGGCCCTGTTTGTAAGCCGTGAGTTCAGGCTTTTCTGAGAGCTGAGTAGCATGTGTCACCTTCACCCTGTCGCCTTCCCAAAGCAAGTCTCCTTTTTCAGTCCTACCTTGAGACTCTGTGACTCAGGCAGTGGTCTCTCTTGCTCTTGGTGGGTGGGGGCAGTTTATGGCACTGCTGGTGTGGGGAGCGGGTGGGAGCTCTGAATCTGCAACTTGTAGGTTGTGCAGCCTCTGAAGTCAGCGGCTTGCCATGCAGGGCCAGTGCGCTGACATGTTCTCTTGGGCTCCTGACTGGCGAGCACTGGAGTTACTGGTGTAGAAGTAATATCAGAGGCTGCAGAAAGCAGCAGCCTTTGATTTCATGAGGGACCAAAACCAGCAGTACAGTTCTGGCATTGGACTGGAAGCTTGCTGCTAGCTGCCCTTGCCTTGGCACAGGCAACAGAGAATTAACACTTGGAGCGGTGAGCATACCTTCACAGGAAAATATATGTAGCTAATTGGGTGATGAGCTAAAACCAAGCAGCCATGGGCTGGCCCAAAATGTGGGGTCAGAGGACATAGCGTTAACTAGGGCTGCAAGTCAACATCAAGTGCAAATGAGTGCATGTGAGTTCAGGGAAGCTTGAAGGTATGGTTTGGAAGGCTGAGGTGGTGTTCCTCCCATGGGGAGCAGAGATCACCAGCCTGGCAGATCTGGCTGGACTGGAACAGCCTCCACGGTGACTTAAGAACTGTGCTGTCAGACTGTCTTTGGGCTCTCGGAGAGCTGGTGTGAGTAGACAGCGTGTGTGTCAGCTGGCTTGCTCACAGTGCTGCTCCCTGGGAAGGGACACCAGGGAGAGACAGCGCTTCCTGTCTAGACCCCGGTAATCGCAGTGAGGAGGGGTTTGCACGCAAGCTCCTGCTCTTTCTCCTGTGATTACTGAAGCAGAAACCAGGCCTGCCCACAGGTCCTTGGGAAGGAACACCTCGCTTCTGCTATGTGTCTTGGAAAATACAGCTACCGTCTGCTCCTTGCTCCCCCTTGATTCAGGCCATTAGTCAGAGTAGGGGCCAGCTGCCGTGCTGACTCCGGCGCTGCTTGCTGCCAGCCTGCGGGAGAGCTCAGGAAGTTTGCAGCATCCCAGCTGTGGGTGCAGGGTTTCCCTTGATGCTCAAGGGATGCTCCTTGAGCCCAGGGATGAGGCTACTTTTGGGAGGAAGGAGTAAAAGCGTCAGGACCAGCCCAGATCCTCTTGCCCCAGAAACTACATGACTGAGGAGTGATTGAGGGAAATACTAATTCCCTGAACCCTCACCTGCCTGGGACTGCAGGTGGTGCTTAAGTAAAGAAATGGCATTAAACCAGGTCCCTTTGCCATGAGCTGTGTAGCTTTAGCACCCGTCCCTCCCCAGGGAGGGCAGAGTATGCCACTGTGCAGGAGTGGGCAGCGTGGATCCGCATGGGCCATGACAGCCATGAATGCTTCTGTACTGTATCAGGCCACATTAGTGCTCAGGGTCCCTTGTCCTTGGGGAGGTGGGGCCCAAATGGTTGCCAGCATGACTTCCTAACAGAGGACGTTTGAAATCCCACTGTGTTAGGAGAACAGAGCTGTTGTTTGCAGCCTGCCAGCTCCTGACTGCACGTGGAGGCTTCCTTGTGTGGCAGCAGGGCTGCCTGGCTCTCCCGAGGTCACTGCTGGGGCCAGCCTGCTGCCCACAGAGGAAAATGCCTCTCTGGAAATGTCTCTTGCTGCCTGGTGGGCACGAGGGGGAGGGGAGAGGACATTTTTTTGCATTAAAAAAAATAATATTTGTAATAAATGAATGCATAGAAGTCAGCTCTGCTGATGCCACTCTCTTCCAATCAGCGGAGCGAGGTGGGGCATGGGCCCATGCAGGTTTTCCGGGACCTATCTCCCCTTGCAGCCTTCAGATTCAGTTCCCTAGATGTGAAATCCCTCGACGTCTGTCTGGACAGCGTGAGAACAGTACGGTGGTGGCAGAAGTCCTGCTTGTGCGTCAGCGAGTCGTTGGCAGCAGGAACCCGCGCTGTGCCTCCTCTCCCAGAGGTTTCCTGAAAAGCAGCTCTTGTAACCAAGGGATCCCACGTGCCTGGGGAGCGCGTGAGAGGGACAAGGAGCCCTTTGCTGTACCCACAGCCCTAGCTGTCGCTAACAACCTTTACTGTTTAAATAAAAGCCCTTCAGTATTTAGAAAGGGGTCTGGAAGAGATGTCTTCATGGCATGGGCATTTCAGCTGAGTTTACTGAAGTGTCACTGCAGGTCTGCTGTGAGGGAACAGATCAGGAAGTGATGGCAGCAGGACTGTCCCATGTGCTAATGAATTTTCCTTCAGCGTTATGGGTCCCAGCTCCCTGTGGGCTTGCAGGAGTCAGGGGGAGGCTGTCAGGGGAGCATCAACGTTGCAGTTCTTGCCTGTTGCCTGCTCGCTGTAGCAGGAGGGTGCTGCTCAGTGGAGGCCAGTGCATGCTTTTGCTGCAGGCTGCGCCCATGGGTGCTGCTCTGCTCTAGCCAGCTGGCAGCTGGGGGAGCACCCCAGAGCAGCATGTGTTTTTACCCTTTCCTCCAGCCCCCCTGCACAGCTGAGCAGTGCTGAGGACCTCCTCTGTCCTCCTTTAGCTGTCCTTTGTTTTGGTGGGCTTTGGAGGTCATTCATGCCATACTGGGCTCCTGTGGCTGGGGAGGCGATTAGTGGAGCCTATGGCAGGATGCTCTAGGCTGAGGCCTGGACTCCTGTAATTTAAGAATAATCCTGCGAATGCTTATTGGTACCTAGCTTGGCCCAGAGACTGAGCTCTACTGAGCTTCCCAGGCCTGTGGGAAGGTGCTTAGTGTGTGGCTGTAACCACCGTGGGGTAGTGGGAGCATTGTGCCACAGTGGGCCCCCGCAGGTTTTGTGGAGAAGAGGACCTTGTGAGGACAGCAAGCCCTGCACTAGCATACAGCAGGTACCACCTGTGGAGCCCCATGTGTGCCCCCAAGGGCTCATGGTCCTCCACAAGCCCAGCTCTGGGGACCCTCAAGGAGGCTCCCCCCAGCCCATAACAATGCATTTGGAGCGGTGCTCTCCCTGCTGCCACCAAAGGAGGTCTGCACCCAAAGGAGGTCTGCATCCAGCAGCGAGGGCTGCCTGCACTCACACAGCAGTGCCTTCTGCCGGCCTGGCATCCACTGGAGACTGTTGTGTCTGTTGTTTGGAAGCCCAGAGAAAATAGTCAAAAGAGCCAAGCACTGATTTTTCCAGTCGCCTAGGAGCACCCAGACTAGCAGGAAAAAAAGCTGCATGCTGAATTCCTATCTTGGGATGCACAGCTTTGGGCTGCTTCCCTGCCAAGCCTAGTCTAATTAAAGATGATTAAGGAAACACATGTATTTGGTGATGATTTCTGATAGAAAGGAGGGTCTGGGTTTAGAAAACTGTCCCAGCTGGGAAAAAGAGCCTTTCTTACCCAAGTGTGAAAGGATTTTGCTGTTGTCTCCATAAGGAGGCCTCAGCATGTTCATTCCTCTCTGGGCTCCAGGTGTTACAGGATCTGATTTCCTTTTCCTTCCTTGCTGTGGTTAATGTATTCCACTTATTGCAGCTCTGCTGTTGCAACAGCCCCAGCAGCTCCAAGGAGAAGGTTTCAGAGGGAACAAAATTCAAAGTCTGTGTAAACATTGCCCAGGCTAAATATTAATGCTTCCAGGATACCTCTGGAAATGAATAACCTCTGTCCTCGCTTCAGGAAACCCATAGGGTCATGTGTGCCCTCAGCAGGCTGCTTGCAGCTCTGCCCTGGGTAGCTCTTGGCCCCAGCACACTGGCACGTGCTGTCAGTGCCATGGTGGACCTTAACTCTCCTCTGGCTTTTCTGCCTTGCAGCAGAAGAAGTCGTACCTGGAGCGAAGCGTGAAGGAAGCAGAAGATAACATTCGGGAAATGCTGATGGCCCGAAGGGCGCAGTAGCTGTGTGGTTCTCTCTGGGCCTCCTGCGACACCCTCTGGGTGGTTTTGGGCAGCTCTGCCTGTACGCTGCTCACTGCTGCCTGGCTGCACGAGTTCCGTTCTGTGGCAGTTTCAATAAAACTCTGCTGTGAAGCCTGAGCTTGTTTCCTTTGCCTGCCACCTTGGCATCTCATAGCGGCTGCTCTCCTTGCAGGGATTTGATGGAGAAAGGAGGTGGCGGTGGGATCTGGGGTGAGGGCCTTTCAGAAAATCCTGCTTCACTTTAAAGCAGCCATAGCCCTCGCCCTCCAGAAAGACCCCGTGTGTTGCTTGGCACTGGGCACCAGGGAAGGCTCACTGCATTGTTTTGCTGGAGTGGGGCTGGCAAAACTGTGGTGGAGGAAAAGGGAGGCTGGCAGCACCGGGCAGGGCAGAGCAGGGCTGGCCTTCACAGGCACCTCCAGGTCCACAACAGGTGGTCATTTATTCTGTCTCAGTGGTGACAGGTCCTGGTTTCCTCCTTGTACACATGGGTCTGGGAGAGCCCCAGCATGGCAGCGAGCTCGTGGAGGGCCAGTGCCACCCTGTGCTTCATGCTCGCAGTGCATCAGCCAGGCCTCTTCCTTCCCCTACTCTTAGCTTTGGTGCTTTTCTGAAATGGAGCTTTCAGGGACATCTCCTCTCCTGCTAGCAGCTCCTTGGGATCTTGGAGCCGAGCTCCAGGTCCCATTGCCAAACCCCCCATGCTCTCACCCTGTAGACACACAGGCGCTGTCACTCTGGGCTGGCCCTTCACCACCCACTTTCCTCCAGGCTCCCAGGCTGCTCACCGGCTGGTCTGGCTTCATCTTTGCCGATGATCACACACGTGCACTGGCTGCAGTTGCTGCCTCGTGGACACAGGGGCCCGTGGGCTGATTCCCCCTGGTGCACTCCCACCCTTCACACACACATGCACACTCAGTAGGGAGCCCTCATCCAGGACAGCGCTTAAGAGGAACTTAATAAGATCGGACAGACTGTGCTGATCAGGCGCCGGACAAGTGTACTGACCACCTGGTCATAACTGGTCCTTTCATCCCCATACCTTACCATTTTTCCACACTTGTTCCTCCCAAAATCACCTCCACTAAACATCTCATAGCAAGTTCTGTGCAATCCCAAACAGCTTTTCCCTGCATCCGATAATGTGTCCCTCCCCCAGGCATCAACCCCTTATTCCGAAGGGTGATCTGGAGAGCTGCTGTGGGTCGCTCCTGGGGATGGGCGTAGCCTGGACACGGGTCTGTGGGGTCAGCCCTGGGAGAGAGGCTCTGGACAAGGTGTCTGTGTTACGAGTGTCCTTGGATTGGGTTCCTGCCTGCCATTGTGCCCCTGTGCTCCTCTGGGCTTGTGGAGGGGCCTGTGAGGGGCTGATGGACCTTGTGATGGGCCCGGGAGTGCCCCGGCTGGGTGTTACTTGGGCTCCCCTCCTGCTAGGACTCTCTGAGCTCCTGTGTGGGTGTGCAGAGGTTCTTTATCCCATAACCGACCACAAGCTGCCACGTCTGCTGCTTCCCAGCCTCGGCTCTGGTGCTTGCTGGCATCTGCCAGCTGCCATATTTGGCAGCACCCAGCAAAGGTGCAGGGGTGGGCAAACCAGGTGGTTCCTGGACCAGGTGTCCACCTGTTTTGGTCCTGAGGCAGGGCGCAGGCCTGGCCTGGGCCCATAGCTGGGCTCAGTGGCCAGGGACTCCCCTGCTACAGGGGCTGCCTTGCACCAGGCTGGGCTGAGCTTCAACCCCTGCCTTGGCCTGGCACTAGAATGGGGAAGACGGTGTCCAGGCTCACTGGGGGACTGGCGGAGCCCTCTCTTCTCCAGCAGCCTGAGCCTGATCCGCCCCCTGCATAGCCCCAGGCAGCTGGTGCCCAGCATGGTGGAGGGTGGCTGGAACACAGGGCAGCCCTTTGCAATGGAGTGTGGGAGATGTGTCCCCAAGGACAGGCACTGTGCTACTGAGGCCAGGGTGCTGCTGTAGCCACATGAGCCCAAGACCACAAGCACTTTGTCGGTGTTTGCGATGGGTGCTGGAGCAGGAGGCAGAGAGCAGCAAACCTGAGTCCTCACCCCTTCCCACACTGGGGTCTGGGGGCAAATGGCCCCAGACCAGCTCCTGCTCCTACTTGAGGCACAGCAAGAACCAGCCTGTGGCTGTGAAGTGACTGCACAGGGCTGGGGGCTCACCTCCTCCCTGGCAATGCCACTTCTGGGGAGCATCCAAGGCCAGGCTGGGTGGGCTGACCACTGCGCTGGGATGAGGGGCTGGAGGGAGGGGAGAGGGGGCAGCCGGGCAGGCAGGGGCATGGGCGCAGGGCAGCAGAACACTCCACTTTTATCCCCCTGCCAAGGCAGTGAGAGCCAGGGACCACTCTTCTGAGCTTCAACGGCTGCCGAGCTGCCAGGGAGGTGACAGCAACCAGGAAGGTGACAGCAACCGTTCCCGGGGGCAGGGAGCCTCCAGGAGCCTGGCAGTAGACCTGAGCTTAGGGATGCAGCCTTCAGGGGGGCAGCCCCCCAAGCAAGGGGCTTGAGGGCTCCTGGGGACAGGCTGCTGCTAGGGGCCTTCATCAACCCAAACCAAATTGTCTTGCCTCAGACCAGAGCCCCAAAACTGCATTTCTAAGACTTATGCGGTGGTGTACAGAGTGCCCGGGCTACGCCAGAGGCGCCAAGCACCTGGTGGGGGGAACTCCTGGACAAAAAAATGCAGAGGAACCCAGTGAGGTGCCCTGTGAGGCCTGAGCAAGCCTCGTGGCATGGTGGCTGTGGCCCTGCCATGCAGTTCACAGCTAAGCCCTGTCCCTTACATTGGTTCCCTCAGGCCTGGATGTCAGACCCAGCCCCACGCAGGAGCAGGGGAGCAGAGCTGCTGCCTCAGCTGCAGCACAGGAAGAGCCTTAGGATCCAGACAAGCATAACTTTTATTTAGCTCAGCTTGGGCCATCCTTCCCTCTCCTGGCACCTGCTGCCAGGTCTCAGGGAGGCTGGATGCAGCAAACATGAACTGAGGGACGTTGAGCGCAGCGCCCTTTGAAGCCCTGCTGCAGAAGGGTACGAGATCACTAGGCAATACAAAGCAAAGCCAGTGTGTGTCAGTCCACCAGGATCAGTTTTGCTCCCAAGGCAGGGAGAACAGCAGTGAGCCAGGGCAGTGGGCAGCTGGTTCCCATCCCCCACGGTGACCAGAAGCAGGTTTCCCCACTTTTCTGCAGATGAAAGCTTTTTATCCCTCTTCTGGCCAGGCATGCCATGAAACAGCTTCAGCTATAAATCCTCAGCACTAAATTAATCCATGGTCTTGCTTCTTCTTACTCATTAATCTACCCCCCAAGCCTATACTCTGCAGTAGGGGGATGATGGATCACTGCTCAAAACCCCTGAGCAGGATCAGTCCTCCCCCAAGAGCCGCTGATGCACACACGCAGCAGCTCAGCATGTGCTTCCCCCAGCTCCCTGCCATCCCAGGAGCTGCTGCAGAGGCCCTCAGTCTCAGAAGAGGACCTGCATGTCCAGCCCTGAGTAAGCAGAGGGATGAAAACCCGACTGAGCTGCCCTGTGCAGGACAAGGGGGTTGGTGGTGTCAGGTACAGGCGCTCCACCCCATCTGCTTTCACAGCGCTCTCACAGCTTACAGACCAGGTTGCTGCAGAAAATCGCTCAGATGCTGGTAACAGCAGGGCCAGACAACCCCAGCCCAGGCCCCAGCAAGGGGTCAAGACACGAACTCCTGCAGCAAAGCTGCTTGAAGCCAAGTCCATCATTGCTGTTGCAGAGTCAGCGCATGCGGGAGGCTGAGAACAGACCGACGGGAGAAGCACACCCTCTACGGGACAAATTTATTGAAACAGTCGGGACCTAGCAAAGAAAATCATCTGTTGGCTTTAATTATTGCGTATGTCTTCATTTCTAGGACTAGGAAAATTTCAACTGATAAATACACATTTCATCAGAATGCCTTTGGCTGAAATACACCATTAGTACATTCTTCAAAGTTACAACAAAAGTCTTAGAAATGTTAAAAAGGGATTTTTCCTTTACTAAAATAAAGGAGTGCACCCCCCACCCCAACAAGGCGCTAGGACTGACAGACGGGAACTCTTGGCTGTGCAAAGCAGAGCGTTGATTACAGTAACAGAAAGAAGTCAGGATGGGAGTGGGGAGCCTGCATAGCACTCAGTGAGAGGTACAGGAGGCGGCTGCAGTGGAGTCAGGTCAGCATGTCCCAGAGGCAGCAGCAGCAGAGCGCGGTCCAGCATGCTGTCAGGCAGGCGCTCTCGCCTGTGTCATCCCTCCGCCGCTCCTCCACGACGTACACTGTGGGGACAGGAGAGCTCTGTCAGTCAAAGAGCAGCACAGCAGCCAGCCACATCTGCCAGCCCCAGCACAGCCACCCGCGGTGCCCCTCTGCACCCCAGCACTCGCTTTGGGTGGCTCATGCTTGCTGGAGACAAGCTGGTGCACAGGTGAGCACTCGCAGGAGGGGAGGTGCTGAGCTCCTGTGCTGGGCGCTGCAGCCCCTCGGGCCATGATTTCATCACTGCCAGAAGCACCCCGTGAGGACCCGCTGCCTGCTCCCATCACTGCAGCACCCCTTGGATGGGAAGGGGCTGCAGGGGAAGCACTCCTTTCTGCAGCTGGGCCCAGGCTGCTGGGACTGCGCAACATTAACAATCTCGACACAGACAGCCGGTGCAGGTCAGCCAGGACCAGACTTCTGTTACGTTACATACAGTTATTGAGCAAGAAAACAGGCTCAGCCTGGAAGGCGTCTGCTCTGAGTAAGCTGCCCTCCTGGGAGTGCTGGTGCCTAAGCCAGGATCCCTGCCTGCCCCGCTGCCTCCCCCTGCCCTCTGGCAACACCCAGCCAGCAGGAGGCCCTGGAGCATAGTGCCCACGGGTGCCCCGGCTGCCCCTGCTTGAAGCCAATGCCCTCCAGGCCCGGCACAGCTGCCCTTCTCAGGGCAGGAGGGACCCAGCCCAGGCAGCAGTGCTGGAGGGGACCCTGTGCTCCTATGGCACTTGGGGTGCTGGGAATGGAGCACGTGCAAGGAAGGTGGCAGGTCAGACGAGACTAAAGGCCGCCACCCAGCCGCCCACTCGCTCCTCCTCAGCAGGGCAAGATAGGAAAAGAGGATGAGAAAGCTCGTGGGTCATATAAAGACAGAGAGATTGCTCACCTATTACCATCATGGGCAAAAACAGGCTCAACTTGAGGAAACTTAAATTAATTTATCACCAATTAAAATAGATTTGGGTAGTGAGAAACAAACACTGAAACACCAGCTTTCCTCCTGCCTCCTCCCCCTCCTTCCCCATCCCCCTGTGGTGCTAGGGGGAGGGGGGCTGCAGCCCGTACACAGCAGCTCCTCTCTCTGCTGGTCCTGCCGGGGAGGTGAGCTGTGACCGTGCTTGCCAACAGGGAGGTGACAGCTGCAGGCTGGGGTTGTTTCCCTGCAGCCTTGGCAGAGCCCATGCCCCCTCCTGAAGCAATCTGTGTTCTGGGTACATTAATCTTTAGAGGGATCATTAGGCACCTGGTGATCGAGAAGGCAGCTCAAGGCTTTCCGCAAACAGTGCTGAGACCAGCAGGAGCAGCTGCCCTGGACCTGACCAGGTGCCACTGGGGACTGTCACAGAGCTCCCAGCTAGCCTCAGCTCCAACATGGCACAGCCTTTGGGCACCGATGTAGGGTCCCTGCCAGGAGAACCTGCTCTAACACGGGTCCTCTCCACAGGTCGCAGGTCCTTCTGGGAACATCCACCTCCTCCATAGTCCTCCACAGGTTGCAGCAAATACCCAGAGCACCTCCTCCTCCAACCCTCTGCTGTTTCTCACTCTTTTGTTCCCTCCTCTCTCTCTCTGGCATTTTCTGCCCTTTCTTAAATATGTCCTCACAGAGGCACCACCAGCTTTGCTGATGGGCTCAGCAATGTCCTGTGGTAAGTCTGTTGTAGGTAGCCTTGCCACCTACAGCAGAACAAAGAGGTAAGGTCCCAGGGGCAGGAGGTAGTCTCAAGGTGAGATTCAGGTACTGCGCATGAATGGCCATGGGGAGGCGGGTACAGACAAGTCCCGGGACAAGCCGAGGGCAGTGGCAGAGCAGTGTCCCTCCTGCCCCTCAAGGCTGGAGAAAGCTCACTCTGCATTTTGGGCATTAGGCAGAGGGTGCTTTTGCACCAGCCAGCACTTCTCAGTGGTAGGAAGAGCTCGCTCTTCCCAGGCAGCAGGCCCCACAGAAACAGCAGGGATTTGCTCTGGCTGACTGACCTACCCAATTATAAAGCCACCTGGTCACTGTGAGGAAAGCAAGCAGGAGGTGGCTGTGGCAGAGCTGGGATGCATCGCTTTCAGAGCCTCCCTCTCACAGCCTCCACAGCTGAGGCCAAGGAACACTGGCAGTGCCCAAGTCCAGAGGGCTCCACGATCAGCAGCAGGCTGACTTGGAAAACAAGTGGGTGGGTTCCTTGCCATTGGGTCACTTCCATGCACAATCAAAAAACACAGTTTTAGCACAGTGAAGATGACAAGAACGTGCCTGCTGTCAGGTCTGGCCAGGCCACAGGCAGGAGAGGCTGGATAGGCACCCAGGGCAAAGTTTTCCAGGAAATGCTTCTGTAGCTACAAGTGCATTTGCAGTTTGTGTGCTTGTTGTCTCTTGAGACTTGTACCGCTAAGTCAGCTTGCTTTAATAAGTAGCTGTTCCCTGACACTGCTCCAGCCCTGTCATGCACAGAACTGCCTCCTCCCCTAGGAAGTCAGGGCCAGGATCAGTCCTTGCTCCAGCTCTGTGTCCATCTTACATGCTAGGGGACTTTCAGCTCTGCCTGCTCAGCACCCAAGGCACAGCCAGCTCTTACTAGGCTAGGAGAGAGCAATCCTGGGACACCTCACCTGGCAAGGGGCAGACACCTGGATCACACCCCCAAACGCTCAGGGTATTGCCTCATGGACAGAAACCATTTAAGTTCTGCCCCTCGAGGGCGGCCCAGAGGCTCCCAGGAGGCTGTTGGGATTTACTGCACATTGCCACCTGCCTGAAAGCACAGGAGGGAGCACCACGTTTGGATGGAGCTCTCCCAGCAGGGTCTCCTACTCAAAGCCAGTGTGCTGCCTTCTCTTTCTGCCAGTCCCTGAAGCCCATTTGCTCATCTGTCCCAGTTTACCTTTGGTTCCTCCTCACTGAGCTGGGGCTATCACACCCAGAACTGCAGCAGTTTGAAGGCAGGCATGTGACCTTCCTTCCTTAAAGCTTTCTTGGGTCTCTTTGTTATGGTCTGCGTGGGAAACGTGCCCTCACACAGGAGTCTGACCCAGGCAGGCCGCTAGTGCAGTCAAGTAGCTGAACACATGGTGTTGACAGGCAGAGGCCTGGGCAGGAGACAGCTCACCATCATCAGCCTGGTCCTCCCACAGGCTTGCTTTGTGCTCAGAAAAATGTTCCCCCTCCTTCACTGCTTCAGTTCTCTCAAAGGCAATGGGTGGAGGATAATGTGCTCCAGCTTACATGATACCAAAATCCTGCCACCATCAGGGTGGGGCAGAGAGAGGAGTAGCCCAGTAACACCCCC